GTCATATTGAGATTAACAATGATGCTTCCTTGGCCTTGTGGAACATAGATTAGCATTATATCAATTCCTACAAGTGATCACGTAGAATAAGTAATTACGACTTATGTGTTTTCAACATTAAATTAATTGCATGACCTTGGTGTTTATACCTTCACCACATAAAGCATGATTCTAAGATACTATCGGTTTGAATAAAGGTTCGCGTGGATGTGCTTTTAAAATGATTGAAAGCGCTTTTAGTAAAATCGATTTTGAGTTTCAAAAGCACTTTAAATGCTATGCTAGCATCAGTCTTGTACGCTCCATTCTTACAAGGACAGTGTTGAGAACATGCAAGTATATGCCCCATCCATGTGACTTAGGTGAACCCAAAATAATAACAACCATGAAAGCCACACTTAAATTTCTGCGAAACCAGCTAGCTTGTCGGGTCCAATACTTCATATAATTTCTCAAGGGCAGAGCCATAGGTCTCTATTTTTTTTTTCCCTTAATTATTTGCTCAATGACAATCGATCTCGTTGGCAGAAGTTAATCCTTGGATGGGTGTGCATTTGAGGAAATATCAAAATTACTAAAACTAGTTTGAAAAGTTCAGTGGAGATTTTGATGCACCACCCAAATTTTTTCTAAAATAGCTACCTTTTTTTCCAAGAAATCGAATGTGTGACTGGGGTTGAGTATAACTATGGTTTCTATTTCTTTTTGGTTGATGGGATTGGACCAAATTGCACCATTTGGTTATGGAATTGTTCATGTGTTCAATGTGAGTAATTTGGTTTTGTAGATGTAGTACGCTTCAGATTTAGATTGATTTCAAGTCACGTTATCATTTAATAGTTGATTAGAGAGAAAAATTAGAACAATTGTGAAACCATCATATGACGCAATATGAGAAAATTGTTTCATTGCCTAGCGACCCCAAACCCTAAGTGTAAAATGAGGTTAATTAGTCTTTGATCATTTCATTGTTTAATGTGGTTTCCTACTCATCCATAGGGGGGTGATATTTGTAATATTTTTCATGTATTTTTCTATAAATATTCTTTATCAATGGAAGGATTTAAACTCGCAACATTTTTCGATGTTGAAAAAGAAAAATACTATCGGAATAAGAGCTAGTCTATTCATGTATCTAGCTTTTTTGAGGCCCCAAACATGGAGGTGAATTGTCTGCCCTTCCATTTCCATACTCTTCCCATCTCCTCTTGTTTTGTGTGGTCACGGTTAAGCCACGTCAATTTTTTATATTCCTATTAGTTTTTGTTTTATTATTTTTATAAAAAAAATCAATATAAAATGTTAACGTGGTTTAACCGTGATCACACAAATAGAATGAGATGTGAAGAGTATGGAAATGGGAGGGTAGACAATCCACCTCCCCCAAACATAAGGCACCAAAAGTGCACGCAAGGGATATAACTTCAAGCTGTTTGGCTAATTCAAGTTGAAGCATGCAAATTCATGACATATCACGCAAAAAAAAAAAAAAAAAAACGTATTCCTTGATGGATCATCGTTATATATACAACCAAACACATCACTCGAATATATGCCTACCTGCAATATGCATTACCAGTAGGGATGGCAAAATACCCATGAGTTTGGGTAACCGCGGTTATCCGTCCATTTAAAGTTCACGGTTATGGTTATAAGTAACCGTTTAGACGAACAAACGATATGGATATAACCGTTTATCAATGAAATTTAAATGGACGGTTGTGAATATTACCCACGGTTATAACAGGTATCCATCGGTTATGGGTATTACCCGCGGTTATAATGGGTATCTATTTACCCACACTTTTGCAACAACCAATCAAATACTTCCCTCACTGTTTAGGACAAATGACATTTTGGAGGAGGGAAAATTTTAACTGGAACCTCGATGGCAAGACTAGACGCTTTTAGTTACCGGTGGGCACTTAAAATCAAAAATTGAAACGGAATGGACTAAATTAGACCTCACTAAATGGTTTATTTTTTGCGGTTTTGAAACCGATCCGCAAACTAAATGACTTTAGTTCCTAATAAGAACTGAACAGCAAACTAAATGATTTAATTTCCTCCTCTCTCACATCCTCGACTCCCCAGTCCTCTTCGTCACTTTCGTTCTTTCATTCTACCCTCTCATATGGTCACACTGCAAATCGCGACCAATTCCAACCAATCTCCAAACGAATCGCTCCTCGTCCACAGTATGGTGATCATGTATTAATGTTATAATTAAAGATTTGTTTGGATGTAGCAGAAAAATATTGTTTGTAAACTATTATTTCAATTATTGGAATTGTACGAGGACTTAAATGATTAAAATAGGAAAATGCATGTTAAAATGTACCTATAACGGTGTTTAATTGTCAGAAAACGAAAATTATGACAAATTTTGTCTTTTATAGTTTTCAAGTTGTTAAAAAAAACACATGTAGACGGGTGAAAAAATGGGTAAATGGGTAAAAAAAGGATAAATGGGTTTAAAAGCGGGTAAATGGTTATAGTTAAATGGGTACACGGTTATGAGTATAGTTAACCGTTTATAAACGGTTATGGGTATGAGTATAACCGTTTATGTAATTACCTAACGGGTAAACGGTTATACGGGTATGAACATAAACGATTATGGGTAAATAACTGCGATTATCCATCCGTCATAACAATTGTCCATCCCTAACTACCACACAGAGAGATGGTCATTGTTCATACCTAGCTCGCATGTATTGGTAAAGAAGTCAGAAATACAATGTCACACATAGCGTGGTCTCATTTTGTCCACTTGTACAACAGACCAAGTCCCCTCCCATGATAATAAAATAGAGCTTTTTTATTGCCAAAAAGAAAATTGTTGCAAATAGAAAAGTACTTTTATTATTTTAATACTTTAAGTCTTTAACGTTGGTTTTAATAACCGTTTTGTTTTTATTTTTATTTTAATTTTAATTTTATCAGGACTCGTTTGGTATACATAATTGAATGGAGATCAGGAACTTTGAAATTTCATAGTTTATTGCAGATGACAATGGGCAACTTTTTATTTGGATGGGATACGAAGAGGACTTTTTATTTTATTTTTTTAAGTAGGATATTTTATTCATTAAAAAAATGGCATCACACATACAGATCATGAATTACTAGGACCTAAAGGGTCCTTACAAATTAGATATAAAAATGTTACAATAAAGTATCATTAATCGCAAATCAATGAGTATACTTAAAGCACTTGTTCGAGCTCGTTAGGAACCACAAAATTATACATATCAATAAAACCATTAAACTTCGTGTTACACGGAGATCATGTGAGAACAAATCTGAAATCATATATTGGAACATGGAGTACGATGCCCATGGGTTGATTGATCACCTAATCATTATCACGATCCCAAAGCAAGTAAAGTAGATCCAGCAAATCAAACAGCTCCACCCTTCACACATAGATTCAAAAGAAGTAGTACACCGAAACAAAAAGAACATTAATATCAAGCAACTCTCCTATAGAAGCAATCAAACTAGCAAACTCTCATAAAGAGAGAAATCAAAACTAAACTCCAATACAATTCCTAGAAATTATTATACAGAAACAAAATAAAAGATAAAATCATATCGTCGCTCCACATCCTCTAGACATTCAAAAGCTGTGTCACCTCAATGGCTAAACTCATATTGTCGCTCTGGCTAAACTCAATCCCCATGCAATCCGACATCTTCCATTAATTTCAGCTTCAACTCTACATCGAAGGTGATAATTAACTGGATCCAAACCTTGTATTTACCATGTGTGTGGGACAAAAAACGACAACTATCATAGCAACTGTAGTGTTTCATGGCGACAATTATATACTAAATAAAGTAAACAAAAAGGAAGAGGGAAGAGACCAAGAATGATTTTGAAGAAGGTTGTTGCCGACCTCAAAGCCAAAGCAGAGGCTAGCGTTAGATAATTTTATTATGGTTTCTTTGGCTTTTGCTCTAGACTGCTGATTAGGTAAAAAAAAAGGGAACTTTAACGAAAAGCACCCGGTACTGTTCACTTTAACGAAAAACCACATTTTTACACTAAAAAGTCAATCCTGGTACTATTCACTTTACCCTTTATTTTGTCCTTATCATTAAAACTCAAAGTTTTCAAGCCCTTTTCATTAGTTTTCCTAAAAAAGGGAACTTTAACGAAAAGCACCCGGTACTGTTCACTTTAACGAAAAACCACATTTTTACACTAAAAAGTCAATCCTGGTACTATTCACTTTACCCTTTATTTTGTCCTTATCATTAAAACTCAAAGTTTTCAAGCCCTTTTCATTAGTTTTCCTAAAAAAGGGAACTTTAACGAAAAGCACCCGGTACTGTTCACTTTAACGAAAAACCACATTTTTACACTAAAAAGTCAATCCTGGTACTATTCACTTTACCCTTTATTTTGTCCTTATCATTAAAACTCAAAGTTTTCAAGCCCTTTTCATTAGTTTTCCTAAAAAAAGGGAACTTTAACGAAAAGCACCCGGTACTGTTCACTTTAACGAAAAACCACATTTTTACCTCGCGAGCAATTTAAAGAAGATTGGAATGGATAAATATTCCTCGCGAGCAATCCATCTTCACCTTCTCAAGTGTCTTCTTGTGGTGATATTTTAATGTGCCCTTTACATGTCAAAGAGAAATAAAACCATTGCAGCATTAGATGACTTTAGTTAAACAAAAATAACTAACACAGTGACTTTGGGTCTCTGAATCTCTTCTCACCTAAAGTCAATTAAGTACTTGTTCAATAGTCAATTAATTACGGATTACAGATTAGAGATGAAATTAAGGAAGTAATTGTTAGTTATATTTTTTGCATGCTATCCATCTTCAAAGTCAAGATGCATGGAAGGACTCCAGAAGAGTTAAAAAGGGAGAGTTGAAAGTTTGAAACTACCCACCAAGTTGCCTTACAACCCACGCTTCTTCTTCTCTCTCTCTCTCTCTCTCTCTCTCTAAAAAACAAGTATTTAAGGAGTTTCTGAAACTTTGCACACATTTTTTTCCAACATCTCTCAATCTCTCTCAGTTAATCAGAAGCTTTTCAGTTCCATATCATTTTCCTCCCTTCTTTTTATCATATAATATCTACTATTCAAGCTTTTGGTAGCCAAAAATCAGTTTGTTATTCCTAGTTCCACAGGATTTTCGTGTTGATTTCCCGAATTTAGAGCCTTTGTGAAAACCCAATTGAGATTCAGAAAGGAGTTTTCAGATTATTAGTTGATTCAGTGCCAAAAATAGGGGTTTAGTGGAAAATTGGAGAAATGGAAAATATTTCTGGGTTTATTAACGTGGATGAGCAGATGGAACTTCCTCCGGGATTCCGATTTCATCCAACGGATGAAGAGCTCATAAGTCACTACCTCTGCCCCAAAGTTCTTGACAACTTCTTCTGTGCTAAAGCAATTGGTGAGGTGGATTTGAACAAGTGTGAGCCCTGGGATTTGCCTTGTAAGTCCTTTGATTACACCAAACCATATTGTCCTCTGTTTTTCTCTGTTTATTTTTCAATTTTTATCTAATTTTTTACTTAATTTGTGTTCTGTGTTTGTTCACTGAAGGGAGGGCAAAAATGGGAGAAAGGGAATGGTACTTCTTCTGTGTGAGGGACAGAAAATACCCAACTGGTCTAAGAACAAACCGGGCAACGGAGGCCGGGTACTGGAAAGCCACAGGCAAAGATAAGGAGATTTACAAGGCAAAAACCCTGGTTGGAATGAAGAAAACTCTTGTTTTCTACAAAGGAAGAGCTCCAAAAGGTGTAAAGACCAACTGGGTGATGCATGAATACAGATTGGACGGCAAAAACTCTGCCTGTAATCTCCCCCAAACAGCAAAGGTATCAATCAAAATCTTGATCTGCTTTCCTCTCTTTTTCTATCCATTTTTTCTGCGATTATTTGTTAATGATTTCTGCTTGTGTTTGTTTTTCAGAATGAGTGGGTGATTTGTAGAATTTTCCAAAAGAGTAGCGGTGGGAAGAAGATACATATTTCAGGTTTGGTGAGGCCGAGCCCCTTCGTGAACGAATTGCGCTCTTCTTTATTGCCACCATTAATGGATTCTCCACCCTACAACAGTGACGCTAGAACAACCCCCACCGCCTGCGAAACCTCTCACGTGTCGTGCTTCTCCGATCCACCGGAGGATCAGAAGACTCAGGACGACATTATGGACAGCTTCAACAACAGCAACAACCACCACAACAACGACATTCCTTACGCTTGTTCATCGCCTTCGAATCCCTCAGCTCATTTGAACTCTATTTACTCCAACCAAATCACACCAAACATTGGACTTTTGCAGCACCAAAACTCAGTTTTGATGCAGGACCAGTCGTTTATGAGGATGTTGATTGAAAACCAAGCACCAAACTTGAGGCGTAGTGCGAAAATAGAGTTCTCACAGGACGCTGGGCTGAGCATTGATGCTTCCTCAGTGGTTTCAAACAGAGAAATGGTGCAGGATGATCCATCGTATTCTTCCGCTCCTGTAGAATTCGATTGCCTCTGGAATTATTGATCTCGAAGATCGAATATAGTTATGAATTAAGAGAAGATTTTTCAGGGATGTATAATTAATATGGTACTTTATTATTATGCACTTTGTATAGAAATTATCCATTGGATTATAGAACCAAGAAGTGCAGCTTGTTGTAATTTGCAGGGATTGATAAGAACATATATACAGTGATGGCTTGGAGATTATTTCCTATTGAATTGACCATGCGGGTTATTTTGCCTTGTTACTTTATTTTATTTTGAATTTTTTATTGAACATAAATGAAAAAGAAAAATGAAATGAATATGAAGGATTTTTTTCCAGTGGCGATATCCTAAGTTGATCAATTATTCTTTATTGTGGCATTCTAAGTCACACACCATCGCCACATGTCCTAGATGTAGATAAATTTCCTTTGTTAGTACAGCCGTTCATGGTTTGTGCGAACTTGATTTGTTATTAATTAATAATTAATATGATATTTGGTAGATTAGTTATAGTAGTAAGTTGGGTTCTAGTTCATTGGTTAGGCCACCAACCAAGAGTTCTCCATGGTGATCAAATTATCAATAACAAATGGCAAACGTATGGACTGTCATTGAAAGCATCAAAAGCAATAACATCTTTATGAGCTTTTCAGCATAAGAAAATTCAGATAATGCTTGTTTTCTTTTTACTCTATTTTCATCCGTGGATGTATATATAGATTCATTCATTTTCAACATTTAAAAAACCGTTTAATAAAAATAATTAAGGGCCTTAATGATATGGTGTCCCAATTACTTTAATCCAATTACAAAAAGCAAAAATTATATGTATTCTGCAGACTAATAGTGTACTACTTGCAACTCACCTTTTATTATTGTCTTTATTTATCTTTTGAATAGAGGATTTCAAACTTGGAATCCTATATGATGATTTGTAAAGATAATGAACGGTTTCGATTATAATGTTCGGATGATAAAAGTTTTTTAAATGAAGGAATTTACTGGAAAACACAAGCATTATCCTAATAAGATGGGCCCATCCTAACCCTTCTTTTCATTTTCACGCTGAATTCTCTTCTCCTCTCTCTTATGCCCCCGATCTCAATTTCAGTCAATCTCTCTCTCAACCTCAATATGGGCAGTCGAGATCTCGATTAGATAAACACCCTAATCTGGGCAGCCAAGTGGGTGATCGATTTGTCTCACTCAACCTCAATTTCCCGCCTAGGTCGCATAGATGACGCCTAGGATGCCGCCTAACTCGCATCCTGATTTTAGTTAAATTGTGGTGACTTGAAATCGCTTAGCGTCTAGGTCATTTTTTAGAACTCTGTACAACAAAACACAAAACATTTACATATTACTTTTATCAAATTATATTGAAAACTAGTATATGAAACGTAAGTATTTGTTCATGCGTAGTTGCATATATACTTATATAGAGAGCTAGTAGATTGACATTATAATCGTGTAGATTATATATTATAGTATGTACATATATTATAGTTTATAGCAGCTATTTTAAAGTCATTGAAATATGAAAAGTGTAGGCAATTATATTGCTTGATCTCCACATCATAACGCGTATGACCTGAATATTCCCAGTTGATCAAGTTGATGAACACTTTTTTCATATTTTTAACGGTCCTTTATTTGAGGAGTGACATAAGACATAACTGTTTCTTTGTAACATGACACCATGTTATACTGTGGTCAGTTGTCACCCCAAAAACATCTACATACAAGGAATATATATATATATATATATATATATATATATATATCATAATTTCTACCCAATATGTAACTATGCATATATATATATATATAGAAATGGGTCTCTTTCTTTATTCCCATCTGCTATATCTTTACAGGAAGTTCATTCCCTTTCAGTTTTCTTTTTTGCTTTTATTTTATTTTATTTTAGATTTCTTAGACTGCATGGCAAAAAGCATATATATGTGTTTTACCAGTTGTACAACTGCTGGGGAATATGATAGGAAAATGAGTTGGGAATATGTATACTGTGTTAAGGGTTTAAATTCCTTTTATAATAGAGAAATTAAGACCTTTAATTTCTAAGTATGTATTCCTTGCCACTTAATAATACGGTCTAATGATATTTATCTTTACTTGTGAGTGAGAGGTCTTAATTAAGTTCGATTCTAGCCAAAGGCGAATTTAAACCACGTTATTGCTAGCCAATTGTGAGGCTTAATCCATTCCCCCACCCCCTTAGTGCAGATCGTTTGTTAAAAAAAAAAAATGTAATGCTAACTAATTCATTTTACCACCATTTCATATATGCCTGAACGACGCTAACAAATCATACCCAAACCGTTAACGGGTAATTTAGCATATATATATATATATTTCTAGCTCATGCATTCCCCTAAATTCATAACGTTTGGACGACGCTAGCTAGCAAATTAGGAGAGTCGTACAAGTTTTTAAGGTCCATAAACCTTGTAATTTAGTAAGCTCCCACATGATTATGGTCCTCTTACAAGCCTTGCACGAAATGGTCCATACCATATTCAAGCATGGGAATTGATGTAACTAATTAGAGGTTATCTAATTAAGTTTTTTTTCTCATACAAGTTTCTCAGGTATTTCAAAAGAGACAAAAGTTTGGAAGTATATGTGTTGTGTAGAGCTCTCAACCTCACATCAGGTCTGAATTGTGTTGATTATAAACAGTGCAATTTCGTCAGTTACTGTTGATCATTAGCTGCTGAGTTACGCCAAACAGAAATATCCAAATACTTTGCATGCTCCCCTCGGCCTTATTTTCAAAAATATACTCATTCTTCTCTGGCTAGCTAGCTGCATGCCTTATCGAACGTTAGAGATTTTGTGTGGGATACTATTTAATTAATAAACAAAATAAATAATTGGGTATTTGGCAAAAGGAATGAACCCTATTTAGTTTGCAACCATTGTAGTCCAAAACTTCACTTTAATTAGGATATGATTTGTAAGAAAAGGATTGGGAAACCATATATTGGAAAAACAAATCTTTTACATTTACATGTAATATTGTTGAATGATAAGTAATTTGCTTTAATGTCGCGTTCACCTACCGTAGAAATTCTCCGTCGATGCGAAACAAACTTTATATGCTCTTAAGGTTAGTTCAAATGGTGACAGTCAGGTGTCAAAATTTGGTTAGGTTTGACTCCGTACATTATAGCAAAAAGCAATTTAAACACTTTCATGAAAATGTAAACCCATCTATTCAATAGTTAGAGAAATAAATGCAGATTCAATGATTCATACAATATAAATTTTACTTAACAAAAACGAGTTTTTGAAAGAAGGGGCAATAATATGAAATCAAAATTACCTTTTTTTATTTTTGAACAGAAAAAAAAATGAATAAAAACGAGTGTGTAGATGAAGAAGGAGTTAGGCCGAAGCCGCCATGCAAAAAGAGTGTTAGGCCGAAGCCGCCATGCAAAAAGGAGGTTTGGACGCCCATCTTTATTCCCAACGGTCCAGATCACGTCACATACCGCGTAGGTCCCACACACCACCGCTAACTACTCGACACGTTGTTCAGTTTTGCTAGACGAGCTTACGTCATCCTTCTTTGCCCATCCACGATTCACGTGTCATTCTGGTATCTTTTTACGAGGATTCTGAAGATCCTTTAATCATATTCGTTCATTGTATATCGTACAGTCAGTTTTTATTAGATATTATTTATATTCAATTTTAAATAATAAAAATTTACAATAATTTCTAACCAAATAATGTACAATAAACAAATATGATTTGAAGATCTTTGAGATCCTCGCAGAGGATTCGGCCAGGATCGTCATTCTCTTCAGTCACTGCTAGCCATCAGTTTTCCGAGACGTTGTTTAACTGTTCTTCAAGCATGAACGTGTGCAAATGTAATTACGTAAGTCACTAAATTAATTGGTAATTATTACTATGACCAACCAAGGACATTAATCATGATTACGTATGACCAGATGTGGTCCTGGTAAATTAACATTCAGTCACCAGGAAAGTGTGTTTACATAAAAGTGTCGTCGAGAAAGAATCAACATCATTACTAGATAACATGTCATGTTGTGATGACTATTAACATTACAAACACAAAATCCATCTTTGGTTGCACATATATATGGGGTGTGCGGATACTTCTCACACACTCCTTATTAATTTCTGTTTTTTGATCTCCTTCAATTCATCAGATCCGATGATCAAAAATTAAAAGGATGTGTGAGAAGTAAAAAAAAGTGTGTGAACAGCACACCCCTATATATATTATTAGATTGCAACATGTAACTAATCCAAAGAATTACAAGTTAATGATGACAATAATAAATAAGTTGGTGACTAATCAACCTACCCAAATACAAAACAAGCAATATAAGATAAGGCCATTACTCAAAATGGTAAAATTTGTAAAAATTGTAGTACTGTGATAAATGATGTGAGTGGATAAAAATTGCATGGGAAATATATAATTAATTACTTTGGGATAAGGTTATAGCTAGTAGTAGTACGTACACAACTCAGGCTTATCTTTTCGTTTCTTCTTTTATGCGCCTGAAGGCAGCTACTTTGTTTTCAACAAGGACTGAAAGTTTACCAATGTGGGGAAGGCTGATATGCTCGATCATAATCTTGTTATCTGGATGGATACATTGTATGGAGAGTGGGACAATGTACTGGTACCGTACGTCCTTGGTTTTTTTACATGGAGAAATGCTAAGGAGATTCTTTCAAAATGAGACTCTTTATGGACTATTTGTCACCTCACAGTTTAACGTCAATTTTCATGCCACAATTATAAAATATTATTTAAAAAACATGAAGTGACAGATTAGTAGATAGAGAATCTCACTTTTAAAAGAGTTTCCTTAACATCTCTCTTTTAGATACGACAAATGCATTGAACCCTGTCCCCAGGAATTCTCTCATGCATTATTTGCGTCCAGCTAGTTAAGTTCAATTGTGATTACTACGTCCTTGGTATTTTTACATAAAGAAATGCTAAGGAGACTCTTTCAAAGTGAGACTTTTTATGGACTCTTTATCACCTCACAGTTTAACGTCAATTTTCATGCCACAATTATAAAATATTATGTAAAAAACATGAAATGACAGATTAGTAGATAAAGAATCTCACTTTTAAAAGAATTTCCTTAACATCTCACTTTTAGATATGACAAATGCATTAAACCCTGTCCCTAGGAATTCTCTCATGCATTATTTGCG